TCTATATGTATATAGATATATATGTATGTGTGTGTCTTTATTTTTATACATTTCAGGTGTTTGTTGTTTTATATCCCCGGTGTGCCTGCGCTTGCTGTGTATGTTGGCAAGGTGATTACCTGTCGACAAACCGCCACCTCGATTTCAGAAAGGTTTTAAAACAACCGGTTGGTATAGTTTGTGGACAACGTTTCGCTTTTAACACAAAAGTTTCGTCAGATCGAGTGAACCAGTCGGGGATTGGTATAGCACTTATAGCGAACTGGAATGATAATCGTGACGAATGCGATGTAGGCAGAAGGTCAATCGCTTCCTAGGTAACGCCTTAGCCCAAATAGTGCATGGAACGGTCACAAGTGGTTCGCGTTACAAGGTCGCACATGTAAGCCCTGTTAAGAATGGATGCGAGGATGATATGATGTTCATTCCCTGCCCTGGATCCGTCCCCCGGCGCCCCTCAGACTGATCGGATTAGGAATCCTCGCCATACGCTCGAAAGCTCTGCCCCTTCCATTCTGTTCACGCAGCTGTGCACTTTGCTAATCTCAACCGCCTCAGCAGTCAGCCTCTGGGGAGTTGATCGCAACCTCTTTCTAACGATTTTGATGTTATCCACGTCGATCTCATACCCTGTATCTATCGCGTGCATCACTACTGCAGAACTCCCTAGTTGTGCCATATATTCAAACTCGTGTCTCGGTGGCCATGTTATGCGTCTCTTGTGTTCTGCTCTGCGTAGCTCTCACGTGGTTTGGCCGGTGTACACGTGTGCGCAATCTTTGCACCTAATTTTGTAGACATGACTGATTGTCCTATCTGCGGGAAGTGAGTCTTTCAAGTGCACTAGTGTAGAGGGGAACGTTTGGCCTTTCTGGAAAATTATCCTCATGTATTCTTTATTTAGGACCCTCCGAATGATCTCCGAAGTTCCATCTTTATAAGGAATACCTACCGTCCCAATCCACTCGGTAGTCCGCCGTGAGTGAGGATTTAAAATTCGCTGCAACTGGCGTTTTATGAACCGCCTCTGAAATCATGAATTCTTGATCGGTTCCAAGTATTTCCCAAGATGTTGAGTGCCTTTACGCCACTTCGATTATTCTGGATCCAAAAGACAGCTGGTCGTAGTTAGGTGAATTTGGGTGCACGGGCTTCGTGACGATGCTAGGCACAGACTGGTTCCATCCAGTGTGCATCGGGCTGCGGCCCGCCCGCCATGTGTAGGTCTGGTATGCATGCCTCTCGAATTAGACTGAAATACAGCTGCTGTTCAGGTTGAAAGAGTGTGAGCCGGTGTGGCCTTTGAGTCCAAATTTCTAATACGGGTTCCCACCCAGCAATGACTGTGCGCGTGTATGTTTGTCTATCAATTACCCACTCACCAGTGACTTGGCTTTAGCCACTTGATGCATGCTTTGTTCTCGATCTTGCCAGAATACACATTGAGTGTTGTTAGCTCGGTTTGTTCTGTTGTCCTTGCGTCGTTCGGCTACGTGCCACTACTGTGTTCGCAGGCTTGCGTTAGTTCCGCACTTGTCGACCTTTACAGCCAGATCCGTTGATAAGACGTGGCTCCCATCCACATGCCTCGCGGTCTTACTCTTTTCTGTTTACGCTGGATATAGGTGTGTGGATGGAGCTGTGCGTGATGTAGCGCAAACCACCCATGATCCCACTGTAGACACATGCTCCCTTTGACTATCCTACGAAGGCCACGGTGACAGGCAAATCCGGAATCGGATGCCATCGACCATGAGTCGGTAGAAAAATAAATTCTTAGATGTGCAATAAAAATACAGGTATGCTTGTGTAACCCCACATGAATGCAGACTTTCCTTTAGCTACGGTGGTTCACTGATATTTGATTTAACATATTACTTTGCTATCCCTACTGCCTATTTGGTGTCGTTACTTTTGCCTTCAGATCGCAGCCTTACTCCGACGCAAACACGTTAACTTTCATTTCTATATGTGCATCTGATTGGTTCCTCATTTGTTCAGTTTGTATTGCTTTCACTTGTCAGCAAGCTTTCCGTTCTCTGGTTGTCTTTCACGATTGTGCTTCATGCTATAATACGAAATGGTTTCCCCATGTGAAAGAACGCTTGATTCGTTGTCCCCGGTCTCTCGTGTTCTCACTGCAGTTAGTGGCTGGAACCAGTCACGGGGCTCTGACACAATATTTTCATCGGTTTTGCGGCAGGCAACGCAGCCTGATGGCACTCGATTGGGTTCCAGCAAAAGAAACAGTAAAATGCACGCACCAGAAATAAATAGATGTTAAACATTGTCCTTGTTGTGCATAACATCTCTCTTGCGCATAGGTATGCTTTTCATTACTGATAGAGCGCGATATTTTGCCTGCCATACACAGCTATCAACAACACTCTATGAAGTAACACGTTGGGCATCCAGATGCTTCAGCCCACCATCCTCCTCAGGCGCAGGGCGGTAAAACTATTTTTAAGCACTCGTTCCAGAAAGGAATTAGCTGGCAATGGTATAAAACAACATACCCTCGAAGTGCATCGTCCATGTCTACCGCAATCACATATTTTCAAACATGACACCGCTATGATTGCTCAGCATTTCTTTTACTTCAAATGGAGAACAATCTTCAGTGGACCGTAGCATCAGCTTAGTGGTTCGATTACACACTAGAGCTTAGTGGAGTCTTCGAGCTGAGCACTGCTTTACAATTTCGGTTCGTGAAAATGCTGTGACGCCAGCTACGGTAATATGCTTGGAACGCTGATGTGTTTTCTCCGCTTATTTTTAATCTATATTTAAACTCGCGTAATATTTGAAATGGCTGACTGTTTATACCTAATGAAACTGTCAACTTCTCACTGGTTGACGCATCTGAATCAACCTGAGTGTAATGTACAAACAACGTATCAGCCCTACAAAACGTGTCATATTACGTGGCAGTCTATTCTTCTTAGAGTGGGGGGTGGAGACAGAAGCGTATCAATTTTTATTAGCTTCGTCAGCCGCTGGCTTCTGGTATAGAATAAGGGGTCTAAGCATTCATTCAACTATCGTGATTACCCGCGTTTTCGTTTTATGACGTTGCTGGAGATCTGGCTTTAGGATGTATCAACTATGTTCGGGTCGATTGGGTCGAAATAAGCCTTTCGTCTAACCAGCGCCCTGCTTCGTGTATGAGAGACAGAGACCCAGGACATCCAATATTTCTACGCTACTCAACTATTGGCGGTTCATCTCGGACGATATTTTAGGTGGATATTCGTTTGGTTAGGCATCAAATGGTGTATCAAACCCACGCACCATATCTGCTGTCTGTAGGTCGTTTGATGCAGATGTGATATTACGAGGTGCATTGGAATGCTGGATTATTATGGACAGAAATCAAACGGTTGGCATGGCTCGTGGGTTGGATAGAGTGAGAACACAATACAATGAAAGCGTATGTGAAGCCAACATGAAGATGGACTCACCATAGTACCCATACGGAGGTGTGGGCAAAGGGGTCTACATTCATTATCATACATTTAACTCTCACACAGGATCTCGGCAACCGCGGTTAGCACAACTGACTGACTCTATCATTTTTCTTCTTACCGTCGTTCTATGCAGACCCATCGCAAATGCAACATGCATACCAACAGCCCAACTTCGATTACTTCTTTGTTCAGTGCTACACAAGTGCCTGTTTATCGCATCGCGCCTGCACTCTACAAACACCTGCCCATTTTAACCTAAAGCACCGTTGTTTATTCCTTTGTACGCATTTGCATGTTAATCCTTCGCCCCATACTCCGTGCACAGAACTCAAGGCGTTTTACACAGCTATGTAGTACTACATAAACTCCCGTGTGAAATTGCGCGCCGACTCTGGTGTTTGTTCTCCATGTGCACAGTCATAATCAGTAATTTGTACCTTGTTTGTGGAACTTGTGAAGGATCTGTTGCTATTGTTTTGGGGGTAGCATTGTTTATGTTTTATGTATTTGATTTTGACAATCCTTTGATTTGTGCCTCAGTTCACACGGCTTCGTTTTTAATTGACCCGAGAGTTCTGCGGTTTTTTAAGGTTTCAGGCGAATATTTTGTTTACACTGTGAGTAAACGCTATTAAGCGCGCAGTTTGTTCCTTTCTATCTTCTCTCGATGTATGCTAGAAGCGAGCTATAGAAAACAGAAGTTTAATTTATCCTAGCGTCTTTAGACGCTTGATTCTGCAGAATCAGGGTTCAAGTGGCACACCCCGCGCAAGCTAAACTTGATTGCGGAGGGAAATGCTAGATACACTGGCATCCGTAGGTGGAATTGCGCGATAGTAAAATGATACCTAAGTATGGGAACCATCTTGATAATTGTGTATAGTATAACTTGTGGTCTAATCCATTCCTGTTTCCTACAAAGTATGGGAAATCTACGTGCATACACTTCATAGTGTTTGGGTTGGAAGACCAAATATTTTATTCCGTAATACGTTAAATCGAATCAAACCGCTTATGAGGTGTCAGACATCACAAGATGCTTAGTGGCACATTATTTTATATTTAATCTAATATTTCTTCTCCTTGCTCTTGTTTAAGGATGACAAACCCACTGAAACATGGTGTCCATATTATCTCAGTGTGCTTGTCGTAGCTCCGAATGCCGAAGGCCATTACAGATCGTTTAAGGTTTTTGTGTATGTTTTGGTTGAAGAATTCTTTTCGGTAAAGCTCTCATCAAGCCTAGACGTTTACGTGGACAGTAGTGCTTAACTAAATATTTCAATGTGAGCCTGCACCACGCCTCGCCGTGCGATGATTTGTTGGTTTCGTTCTTGCATGCTTTAGGCGTATGGGCATGAAATTGGAGAGTGATACAACAGGAAAATGCGGCGAACATCTGTAGAATCTTGAAAATTTAACGAAAGAAGCTAGAAATATATCTCTAAGTGCTCTTGAAGACAATGTGTTACACATCACGCCCAATAGCCATTGGTGTGTATAATATATAATTAATGTTTCTTTTCCTTTTAGATGGTACGGTTGATTCGTTCCCACGTGAAATATCTGAATTTGGATAACCTCTTGGGACTGAGTATATATTCGCTAGCTATACTCACTGCAGTTGATACCAACTGGTGCATGCAAAAGACAGGCTTACGAGAGGTGGGTAAACGGAAATATTGTTAGCCGAGCTGCACAATACCGCAATGTCAGCATCGCATCTGTTTTTGCTGATTGTAGTTCAAACGCCCCACGAATGTGTACAGCGTGCTTTTGTGAGGACTGTGATGCAAATACCACGTTCAATCGGATTGTTGATGGACACGAGGTGAAATCAGCGCCTAACCATAGAGGAACATAGTTTACATATATTTTGGATCAATATGGTTTAAGAACAGGGCCGAGGTAGCTTATAATTTATAGAGTATGTTGAATCATAAGAAGTGCTCCCAAATGATATACAGTAGCCTGTCTAAGAAGAAAACTGTTGTATTCATACTGTAAAATTTTTGTGTGAGCAGTATTCAACCATCCGATTATTTTACTTAATTATCACCATGTAGAGTGTAGCAAGCAACATCTACTTTTATTTCCCAGCTAATTCTTGTCGCTAATGTCGGTCTCACGAACGCAACGTCCTCGCTAACTTTAATGATCCTACTGACGTTGCTGAACTAGGACGTGGTCATAGAACAAAATTTTTACTTCCAGACCGAAAAATAGGAAGACATAATCTATCGGGTGGTATGACCATTTCGTACATACTTAACAAACAAAAGGAAAACTGATACATGAAACGAAACATTAGCGTATGAGATCGTGGAAGGCCAAGTGGTTGCACTGTCATCGTAGGTTTGGAGCCATAGTCAGCTCTTTTCGAATGTACAGCGGTGAGCGTTTGCGCTCGGTAACAATTGCCTCTAGTAGCATAAGAAAGTGGGGACGCCTTTCAGCATTAGTGCCGTAAAAACACATAAGATTTGCTCTCTGACAGAAGGTCAGCAAGTGACTTGCGACTGTCGAGGATACTCCGTTTCCCGATTTAACCGATTTGTTCTTCCAGAGGCCATCCAGCTGCGCAATCAGTTGGGGATGTTTCTATTGTTGCTGACACTTCATCTTCGATAAGTGGTCCCAATGTGGCTGTTTCCACAGTTGCAGGTAAAGTTGGCTAGACAATGGGATATACACTGCCTCGTCATCGGTGTATTGAGCGAACACATAAGCGAGGTTCTCGTCGAGGTGAGCAGCTGCAGTTCTATTACAATGTACACTCTTCTTAGTGAAGCACATGCATTTCTTAGTGACCTTGACCATCTTGTCACCCTTGAAGCATGGCTCAAAAAAACTGATTTCTCCTGGAATTTTGGTGCACGATCTCGCTAAGTTGTCTCACCAAAGTGTAAAATAAATTACATCGGAATACCTTTGAATTGTGCCGTTTTATTTAACGGCTCAGTGAGAAACCTAAGATGGGGTCTGATGGGTAGTACAAAGCACTATTGCGCGATCAGCGGCCCCACTGTTGTAGGCTAAAAGCGGTCATCGTTGTTGAGCGCGCACAACTGTCGCTATGCATCTAAAACAGCTGCGGGTGGAGCTAATCCTACCCTGGTAGCCCTCGTCCGTCTAAGCACTGATACGCTACTTTTCTCTCTATCTATTAACGTGACTGCAACAAATTGTTAGCTAAGAAACTTTCTTGATTTAGAGGAGCACTATTAGTTAGTTTGTCTGGGCTTGTGACTGCTGCTGTTGGTGAAATGTTCGTTGCTTCAGGCTACTTCTGAGGCAGTTTCTTGGATAACCGATGCTTCAAAATACCCAGGAAAGGTGATGGCATAATGAATGGTGTACTGCGCCTAAAGTATGCCTGGGTTGGAAGGTTCCTCGGCTTGGGCAACCAGCAATTTCTCTGCCTACGCATCTCATATGGAAATAAACGGTCATCGACCCAATCTTTATATACACTCTCTGCCATCGCTCTCCTCGGCCGAGATACAGACAGCCGACTCCATTAAATCAAGATCTGCCGCACCACCTGCCATATAAGTTATTTCAAGCCAGTTGAAATCCTTCAATCTTAATAAGCACTATCTGATGCTGGGTCTTTAACAACGGGAGCCAATAGTGACTGTTCTAACCGTGTTAATGACCGGTTCACTATCGTGCGTGAGCCACCCAATCGTGAAGATGGGACCGCTTTGTTCCTCACTTTCTCATATCAGTCGGCCAGTTTCAAGTTCCGGAAGCTCATGCTGATAGAATCACAAACAGCTCTTGCCCGTTCTCTGGAAACCTTCAGTACCGAGGTCTGTTGCCTCATTAAGGTTCGTCTGCACGACTCCAGCATAATCATACGGCTGACATCGGCTTCTACGTGCTCCCATGGTACATTTACGCTACGCACATCCGGAGACACAGCTGTTGTGGCCGCAGGCCGGTCCATTGTGGGATTGGTGATGTATGTACCCAGAAGCAAAGTAGTTTGAAAAACTGAGCCTGTTGAGTCGGGGCACTCCCGGGTGATGAGCGCCGTGACTCAAGTAAGGTGAGGACATCGACGTAATCTGTGACTCGTCACACGCTACCAAATACATGATGCGCATGTTGGATATGCCTGTCTCCCGGTTCGTAAAGACCGTTACCTCATCCAAGTGCAAAATTTTTCTTTACGACTGTTCCTAACCTTGTGCCCTTCGGCTGTTCTTAGAAATACTCCAGTAATTCGGTTATCTTAGGAGTATCATCAAAGTGGTCGGATCAACGGATTAGATCAAGCTCAGATTCTCGAAAGCCAGAGTAGCCTTTGTTAATATTTGACCTCTATGCTGCTGATGTGATCTCGGCCTTTCACTAATAGGTCGAGTCCAAAAAGCTACCGGATGCACATTGCTCTCTTACAGCTGCTATACCTGGCCGTTTGACTGAGCGATGTTCAGAGAATGTCTAGGTTTGTTCACCAGTATTGACGACCTTCGATAACGGATTTTTAAGTAAACCATATTCAGTTGACAAGTTAGCTCTTTGCTTGTCAAGGTTCTGATATTGCTTTTGATCCCAGTGAGGCGTTCGAAACTCCAGGTTTGGGGTCCAAGGACTGTGAATGAATTTGATTTGCGACGATATCAGAAACGGCTCGGAATCGCACTCATCGGCCAAGCTGGTGTGAAACGTTTTGTCCCGCACCACCTCTCCTGTCTCCTTTTACGTTGTTGCCATGTGTTATGGACCTCTTCCAACAGTATATTGATCAGGTTATATATATATATATATATATATCTGAAATAGTAGGTGGGTTATATATTTTATAATGCAAGCGGAATACAATTTTCTGGACTTCCAAGAAGGTGACAGGAAAAAATTTGTAAGTTGAACTGAAGTAAACCCAAGCGAAGTTTTTGCTTGTTAACCACTAGAGTATTCTACTTAAGTGTTGGAAACCATTGAATTTTGGCGTTACTAATATGTCAAACAGAAAATGCTTACTACCAACGACAGAATAGTATTTGTTCCACTCCCCATCCGCTGTAATTCAAGAGCACTGGATAATCAGAATTAGGAATTTTGCTGCTAACAAGCATTTAATTAGCCTCGGTTATAGATACTTTGTTTTGGCTTTTAGATACAAGCCAGGATACCTTGCAGTGTAGTCTATAATGTATGGATGTGTCAGTTATTAAACCCACTAGTCAACATTCGTTGAATGTTCGCAATATTCGACTTCTGACCGCTGTTTGCAGTTGATTATACGTTAATCCCATGTTTATATCACAGATATGGCAATGGGGATGCGGAACGACTGGACTCCTTCTCGCATGGCTCAACCTACTTCTCTTCATCCGCAAGGGACCAACTTTCGGAATATTTGTTATAATGTTTGTAGTTGTTATGCTGACATTCATCAAGTTTTTCCTTGTGTTTTCACCTTTTCTTCTTGCATTCGCATTATCTTTCCACGCTCTGCTGGCTAATCAGATTGCATTTAGCGATGTGAAATACGCCTTGATCAAAACATTCACCATGGTGGTCGGAGAAATCGACGCAAATTCGGTGAGTGTGCAAATTTGAGAGTGTTTTGTTCCATATATATATATATATATATATATATATATATATATATAATCTGTATTATCAGCAATATGAGTACGCACAATGTCAGAAGAACCACGGCAAAAATGAAAACCAGTAGAAGAACAAAAACAGCAGCTTTGTGTTTCCCATCCGGTATTTTATCACATCAACGTGCATATTTTGCTCATTACTACCATTCATTACTTCGACTTCACATATACAGCGTCATTAAGGTAGCCATTCTTTATAATGAGACATTTAGCGCACTGTATGTTCTGTGTTAGTGAAGGATTTATTGAAAACGTTCCAAGCGATTTACACAACAATTCTCGCTGTTGTTCTTTATGCAACTGTGTTCCGTTTAGCATCAAGTCAGGATAGAAATGACAAGTTTACTGACTCTCAAGCACACATTGCACGATCAGTATAGCTCATGCATGAACTTTTTAACTCGGTGTATCCGGGGCTGGGTACCCCACGGTGTTTTCGTGACTGCCCAATCGCATACTACTGCGCTACCATGACTTGTGAACAAGGCTTGTCCCAACGGAAAACATACTATTCCGGCTTTGATTGACTACGGCGCATGTTAGGCGGGACAAGTGTCTTAATTTGGGCTAAAACCTACTTCGATGTACTCAGTGGTTCAAATTGTGGTCGATCGTCGCATTTCACACTCAACGGCCACTTTAGCCAAACAGCAGATTCAGTTTCTAGCTTCCAAGGTGTACACATTTGTCCTGCACTATCAGCAACGTGATGAGCAAACCATATTTTAGTTTCACTTAAGACCAATGCAGAATGCGTACATTCTATTTTCTGTAATTTGCTCTTTCACATCCTGCACAGGTTTCTAAGCAGGGCTTCGTGGAAGGTGCACCGGCAGCCAGTCAGCAGTAATGCTATTTAGTCCCAGCTATGCCCTAGTAAACATATCACGCAATAGTCTAGACGGGGTTGAAGTGGAAGCGCTGCGACTGGTTCGTAATCCAAATACATCAGCCAGCTCCGCTCAGAGAACTATCATCACCTGGTGGATGGTTTACTTGTGACGCATCGACCTAGCTAACCTCCAGTACGCAGGCTCCCCATCATCTATTTACTGGCCTCGGTACCCATATGTTAACTTGAACGCGTGATTCAAATAGGCATCTTGTTGGGTGAAATTTCGTCGGTCCTAACCGATGTGTAACAAATAGCTAACCCCAATCTTTCAGCTGTATGCTACTGCTGCTCAGGTGTCACCCCCATCGTGCGTCATTGAAAGCGTCTCACAGTGAACCCAATCTATTTTATGATACTTGTCAGCGGCGTCACCTGACAGGCGCTCGTCAAATACACGCACTACGTAGCTATGGCGCTGGAGTAGCCGCTTCTTTCATAGGACGACCATAAGGTTAATAATCCCACCAATGTGCGATCACTTCTTGGTAAAGTTGTTGCTAATAAACGACTTGCAACAGGAAAAAGCGATTGCATGACAAGTCCCGTAGGATGACCGGAGTGAGGAGTATTAAACCAAACTTCGGATTTTAGATGACTCATGAAGCTATTCATCACGCTTACTCATCTCTACGTCACGGAGAGGGCGGTGCGTACACAGTTTGGTTCGTGGTATTCCGTCCTCGAAGTGAAGCGGACTATATCAAGTAACGCAAGTAGAGTAGCATGTCGTCCAGACATCATTTGGAAGCGCTAATATAAGGGCAAAAATGACCGCAGTTGAAACAACGTTTCATCATCGGGACACTTGAATGGAGAACAATATTTGTCGGTAATCAACTCGAATGTAGTACATGGCCACTTTGATCTGGTGGGCTCACAAGTCAGTCTTGTGGCTGAGTCACAACAGATCGAAACAGCCATGATTCTGCTTCGCTAGTATTGGGTAAACCATGGTAAGGTCTCCACGAAGACACCGACATTTACTGTTATACAAGCCAAGGGTTTCAGGCTGAGTTTGTAGGGGAAACGAAAGCAACCCACTTAGGAGTTTGGTCGCCCAACGTTGGAGTTTCAAGCGCATCGACATCGCATTTCGCCATGGGCGCCAAAAGTATATGGTTCATTACACATGAGGCCTGAGGTAGTCACCATTTGCGGAAGAATAGTTAGATCGAATTTCATGAACGTCTTCCATAGAGGACCAGGTTGTAAACGAGCTTTTCTGTATGATTGTTTGGCCTGTTTCAGGCAACCATATTCATCGTACACATTTACTCCAAGATCGCTTTTCTGGGAAGCACTTTGCAATTGCTTTTCCCCAGGTCTGTATTCATGGTAGGCTGATGACGTATAAGTATCGAGAAGTTGCTGACTATGTGGGCATCAGCAGTGGGTCATGTCATCAAATTCTAGCGCATTGGAGGGATGCTGTGCGCAGGAAGATTCCTGGACTGTGGGAAAATCAGACTTGTATTTGGCATCAGGACAATGCGCCGACTCACGCATCCATCCTTGTCCGCAGCTATCTAGAGATGCATCACACCCCCATTGCGTTCCATCCACCGTATTCGACGGACCTAGTTCCTGTAAACTTTTTTCTGTTTCCGAAAGTTAAAGCCATATTAAAAGGAGGTCGTTTCCCAGTCATAGATGTGATTCAAGTCAATGCTACTACGAACTGCGCGCCATCAAAGAAAGTGCGTTCCAGGAAGAGTACTAAAAATGGAAGCACTTTTGAGAACGGTTTATTGACAGCAGAGAGGACTATGTGGATGAGGAATCGCTTAATATGTTGTGCAGTGAGCAATAAAGATGTTATAGCAAAAGTTCGGTTTCTTTTTGAACACATCTCCTACAACCGAAGTCGCTAGCAACGGTAGGAGAGAGCTTAGCTAAAGCTTTTGAGTTCGATTCTTTCAACACTATTTTGACGAAATGTACGTGCCCGAGATGTGGAAAGACAGAAAAATTACACCAACTCACAAGGGAGGTAAAGGTTCTGAACCAGCCAACTTACATCTACTAAACGTATTGCCGGTTCTTTCAAATATCGCGGATGCTCTTATTTCTGATGCGCTAACGGCCTACTTTGAAAAATTTAATCATCTTGCACGAGAACAATGAACAAGGAACAATGATTTATCGCGGGATAAAAGTAAGTGCTTGACACGCCCAGTGGGATGGTTGGGTGAAAACGATGAAATCAATATATATGTGGGTCATCTACCGAACATTTGCCTAGATGAATACTTTGATAAAACACATCGATGTACAATTTAATTCAAACGTTCAGAAATACAACGGAGTGCAGTGGTCGTTGTTATAAGGCGTGAGAAAAGTAAACTATGGTCGCTCACTTAAATCCATTTGATACATAAATCCTGTTGAAAAGCATGCTTGGCGTAATCCACAATTGAGGAGTTTAGGTAGCAAAGTGTTAGGAGCTAAGAGCAACATCTAATCATCATTTGAAAACGTCTAAGGTAGAGGTGGAGACAACTGAGTCCGGAAGTGCGTTCCAGGGTTGGAAAACCCGAAGGGAAAAGTGATTCCGTCGACACTCCAGACGGCTATATTGTTCCTTCAATTTTATGCAGTTACCCCTGAGCTGAGTGCTGTGGCCAAGTTTCAGCAAATGGCGACTTACGTGGTTTGGGTCACTCAATATCTGATACGCTAATATGAGATCGCCGCGCAGCCTTCGATAGTGTCCGCTGAAAATCCCCAGCAACTTCAGCCTTCGATGGTAAGAGTGATAACGCAGGCCCTTTACATTCTTTGTTGCTCTTCTTTGTGGTGCCTCTAACGCTTCTAGGTTGCGCTTCAACCAAGGTTGCCTAGCTTGGATTGCGTATTCAACATGCGGGCGCACGTACGAATTGTGCATCATTGGGAAGATTGGTGGGTCAAATCTCCCGAATGCCCTTCGCAGCATGTCGACATGCTGTTGTCTCTTTTCGCAGCTACCTCAGCCTGTTTTGAAGAGTTGAGGTAACTCTGTACGAGCACACCAAGGTCACTTTCCTGGGAGCTGATCTGCGATCCGTCTGTCCCAAGCAACTATGTGTAGTTATGTCTTTGGCGTAGTAGCACAACGCGATATTTGTCTATGTTGAATGGTAGGGCGTTTTAAACTGATCAGTTCGACACTGTGTTAAGATTGCATTGGAGCCCTTGGTGGTCGTCCGGTCCTCTGATCCTTCGCCATATCTTGATATCATCAGCGAGAATTAGAAAATCGGAAAGCAAATGATCTCGCCAAATCGTTATTGAACACCAAGAATAGACGAGGTCCAAGCACCGAGCCTTGCGGTAGTCCACACACCATGTCGATTACATCGAACAATGATTATCGGACTCTCACTGCTAGCCGTCGTTCGTGTAGAAATTTGCTAATCCAACTCAGGATCGGGTCGCCAGTGCCGTAGTTCCGAATCTTCTGAAGGAGAATTCGATGGTCTAAGCGATCAAACGCTTTTGAGAAGTCCAGATAGGTGATATTGGCTGCTGCTCCATCATCAACAGCTTTAGTCCAGCCATTACGTGCAATTAATAGGTTCCTAATACATGAATGCTTTTGTCGAAAGCCATGTTGCTCTGGAGCTATTATGTTGTGGCTTTCCAGATACTGCATCAGCGCATCTGCGAAGATTGATTCCATAAATTGCATAGTACAGGAAGCATTGTTATTGGACGGTGGTTGGTAGGTACAGTGCAGCTACCTTCTTTATGAATAGGAGTGATGACCCCTCGCTTCCATACTCGTGGAATATGGTTCTCTTCCAGATATCGCTGATAGAAAACAGCCAGTGGTTCTGCCAGATCACTAGCTACCGCCTACAGAGCCTTTGCTCGGATGTAGTCGCCTCCAGGAGAATTGTGAATACGTAAGGATAACAACTTCTTCAACACAGCTTCCGCAATGAAGGTAGCGATGACTAAAACCGACGGTAGGGTAACGAGGAGAATATTTGGGCTCGTTACCTGCTGGAACGTTTGGAAGTAATGAAGCCGTAGGAGATCAACTGCTTCCA